TCCTGTGATATCGGACCTTGACCGTTTCCTGTCCAAATTTCGCCACACCCCCTTCCGCCCCCGCAAAGGACGAAAATCTGAGGCAACCACAAATCTCAGAGACTATTAAGGCTAGAGTAACCAAATTTGGTACACACACTCCTTTAAGATGTCACTATAAAACGTATATCTCAGAATTTCGCCCCACCCCCATCCGCCCCCACAAAGGACGAAAATCTGTTGCATCCACAATATTGCAGATTTGAGAAAACTAAAAACGCAGAATCATAGATAATGACCATATCTATTAGATTGCTGAATCTGGATCAGATCAGATCATTTTTAAAGCCAAAAGGAACAAATCAATTTGCAGTGGCTACGCAGCGCCCGACGTCACGCTCAGACTCATTTTCTGTCTCTCTCGCACGCACTCGATGTCGTGTCGTTAAATATTAGCGGCGTCTGCCGGAGGAGAGCCATACTGACTTAGTATCGGGTATAACCGTAGAGTTGCGGTGTCCGCAGCAACTCACAACGTTCCCCCTCGTTTTTTCTCTGTTGCCATTGTGGGATTGCTTACGTGAATTCGAGCAACACTTACGATCATCTGTATCCATCAAGCGAGAGAAGATGGGATGGGTGCTGTTTCAATGGATGACGAGATTTTACCCCTTTCAGGGATGACTTTTATAACAAGATTACTTTGCTTGCTCGAACTGAAAGCATGAAAACTAATATGATGAAAGAAAAGTCAAGTTTTGTGTGGTACGGGTTTTCATTCTTATTTTCCAAATGAGTGGAAGCGTTGAGGGAGGCGGCAATCAGGAACGAATTGATTTCTTCTTTAAAGTGGGGAGGGGAGATATCTGTCAATTGGTATTTCTTTTCTCCTCTATCCACCCTATGACCGATTTTATTAGAACTTTAGAATATTTTTTATGTCTGTCTCTATTTTTATGCTGCTGTTTCTTATTACGCTACATCTGTCTGTCTCTCACTCTTCTCATACCAACAGCAGCCGTTATATCTTTCCCCTCCCCTCCAACAGGGGTCGTTCTGAATATAATATTTATTCGATTTGTTCCAGATTCTGAAATCTGGTAGATATGGTCCTATGGTTCTGTATTTTTGGTTTTACCGTTTCTTCAATATTTTGGATTATCATCGTGTGTTGGAGGCGGCAGAGAGCGGGGCGATTTTTTGAAAAGAAGATCTGAAAAGCAGCACACCGCTCAAGAATTTCCTTTAATTGGCAAAAGTATTTACCGTATCGCGAATAGCATTTTAAAGAGATTCCTACTGGGTTTTGTGTAATTGGTAATTTTTGTAATTCTTGGGTGCATTTGTAGATACACTCTCTTCCTTATACTAGGCCGGGGGAACATTGTCAGTTGTTGACTCACAAAAAGTCCATTACATGACAGACTACAGTATCAACCAGTTCATCGAACACCGACTGAATTTCTCGTTCTGGACCAAGGCACACAGCCCGTCCCGGACCATGGAACGCAACTCGTCCCTGCTCTTCACAGTGATCACGGACGATCTCGTGGAGGTGCTGTTTGTGCCGTTCTCGTAACTACCCCTTTCGCATTAATTATATTTTGTTTGTTTTACAGGGTTTTACTCGATTTGTGGCATCTCATCTGTTGTCAAACCCTTAAATGAATCAGTGGTGGGCGCATTAACAGCTATGGCCAACTTCGGGAGGGAACCGATGTGTGTGGACATTGTTTCCTTCATATCCTGAAACTTGGACACGTTTGAACAAGGATGGGTGTGATCTCTGGGCGAATTCAGGTCTGAAAGGGTGGAAACTGACTCTTCTAGATCCTTATATTGTTTATTTAATACAATAATTATAAAATATATTAAAAGGTATCATTGAATCAAAAGTGACTTTAAATATTTTTAGAGTTTCCTCTGTTCCATCGTGATGTTGTCCTTGTAAATCTGACCGACAAGGCGCGGCACCGTCTCCAGATACTTCAAGAGATGCATCTCATTCTGCATATGGGTCATATACCTTTTGTGTATCTTCATGATCATGGGAGTGATTGCCTTGTAGCGCACTAAATCAGCTACACTCATACTGCACTCGATTTGTGGCATCTCATCTGTTGTCGAACCCTTAAATGAATCAGTGGTGGGCACATGAACAGCTATGGCCAAATTCGAGAGGGAACCGATGTGTGTGGACATTGTTTCCTTCATATCCTGAAACTTGGACACGTTTGAACAAGGATGGGTGTGATCTCTGGGTGGATTCAAGTCTGAACGTGTGGAAACTTTCTCTTCAAGATCCTTATATCGTGGCCTGGATGTTTGATCACCACGCACCGACTGCAATTGCATCTCGTCCCAGACTATGGCACGCAGCTCGTCCCCGCTCTTGGCACTGATCGAAGTCGATACCGAGTTGCTACTGGCCATGGAAAATACCCCATGCCCGGCACCGGACTGCCTGTGCTTGGGCTTGTGCTTTGGGAAGCCTTTACCGTAACATTCCATGAACTTGTTACGTGCCTTCTTATCCACTCCGAAATTACACTCTTCGGAATCATCCTCAGGCGTATCGCCGTAGCGCGAGAATGGAGGAAAGTCCGCGATTTGCTGATTTGGATGCTTCTGTTCAGGATTCTTTTGAGCCTTCAGCTTCGAGGTACGATGGGAATGTTGCGAAGCCTGTCGATACGACTTCTGTGTCTTCTCTTTGGTAAGATCCTGATAGGTACGCTGAGTAGGATTCTGAAGCGAAACTTTTTTAGGAACATACTCCATGCTCTTGTACAGTCTGCTCACAGACTGGAGCTCCCCCACATTTTTTCTGTCTAGCCCTGGAGTTTGCGGCATTTGAACTTTTTGAGCTTTTAATATGCCTTTGATAGGCGATGCTTTTTTTTGGGTTTGCCTCTTGGTATCCAGGACATCATCATCTATGGCTGAATTCTTGGGTGCCTTTGTAGATACACTCTCCTCCATATACTCGCCCGGGGGAACATTGTCAGTTGTTGACAGCCCACACAAAAAGTCCTTCACATGACAGATCACAGTATCAGACAGTTCATCGAACACCGACTGAATTTCAATCTCGTTCCGGACCAACGCACACAGCTCGGCCCGGACAATGGAACACAGCTCGTTCCTGGACGATCCTGTGGAGGTGCTGTCCGTGCCGTGCTCGACACTACACCTGTCGCTCCGAGTCCGAGTCTTAGCGAGAAGTTCCCCACCAATCTCTCTGCCCCACTTATCCGGCACAGGGAGACCACCGTATTGATGAGGAGTCGACAATGGGATATCCTTGGCTTGCATCTTGCTTTGATTACGTTGTGACGGCTTTTCACAAGTATTCTCACAAGGATTCGGGTATGATTGCTGCTGCAGATGAATCGGATACAGCTGCTGTCTTTCGACCTTCTGACGTGACGTTGAATTCTTTTGATAATGCTCCTGTTTGTGCTTATGAAGATGGGCTGGACTCTGACCGAGTTTAGGGGCATATTCCTTGTACTTGCACGATGCGTTTTTATCAAGTTCTTTAATATATTGGTGAAAATCTGTCACGTCCGTGTTCTTAGAAAGTATATGTGGACACGGCGATAGGACGTCTTCAGTTTTGCTTATGGGTGCTTTCTTCTGGCTTTGATTGCGTTGAGGAGAATTCTGATTCAAAGCCGTCCGATACTGTTCATGTGGGTGCTGCTGCTGATGCGAATAGTGCAGAGGCAGGAATTCCAAGTACTTATTTGATGTATTTTTATCACGCTCATCACGTTTATCGGCTAAATTCTCCTCGTCCGTATTGCTCGAGCCCTCGTTGGAGGGCTTTGGATTTTCCGTCAGAAAGGAAACATTTCGTCGCGGAGGACGCAAAAATCGGACTTTCATACCTTTGGAGCTGGCTCTGATTGAACATTTTTTCTTCGGACTGTCATAACGCTGTGCCTGTTCTTGAGGAAGTTTCGGATATGAAGTCTGGAGATACTGACTCGGCATGGGAGGAGTCTGGCTTCTCTGCTCCACACACAGATGCTGCGGCTGCTGTTGTTGAGGATCCCGAGAAGTCTGCTGTTTCTTGGCAGGACTCTGGTTTAAATTCTTCTTATACTTCTGACACTGAGGTCGCTCCTGAGCCTGGGTCTGGTCCAGGATGGAAGGCTTCTGCTGTTGCTGCTTTGAAAGGTTCTTCGTTGGCCATTTTAGGTCCTCTAGATAGGCTTGAGAAGACATTTCCCCTCCCATCTCTCGCTTATCCTCTTGTGACACCTCCTCGTTTATGATTAACGAGGCATTGCTGTCGCTTGTCCGTTGATTCATGTGTGAAACTTGGAGAAATGAGCAAATCGGTTTTATTTTTGCACTTCTGGACTCGTAAAAATTCGAAAAGTCCAAGCAATAATTGTAGGCTTGATTATCCATAGATCGAGAGATATTTTTTGAGGTTTCAACCGATACGAGTTTTTTTTGTATGCTCGAATGAGGAGATGACTTTAATAACAGGGTTACTTTGCTAGTTGAAACTGAACGAAGGGATAAACCAGATATGTGGGAAGAGTCAATTTTTGAAGGGTACGATATATATGAAGATTTTCATTAAATATGAAGATAATTTCAATGAAGCACATTCCTTGGGGAAGTAATCCAGTAATGAGTGCGATATATATATTCGTTAACAGGTTAGTTCTTATCGGGGCCTTGTAAGTGATTAGGTCTAGAGGTCTCTCCAAGAGCGGCACAGCTGTAACCGGCAGCGGCCACGGGTTGTTAAACGAGATCGGTAATAGACTGTTATCCATAAATCGAGAGAAGTTTTTTGATATTTCAATCGATTCGAGTTTTTTAGTATACTCGTTTGACTATGCCCTGAAAAGGAGGATTCTGCATGCATTCTTCATAGAAACCTGCATTTTAATAGATAATAATTTTATTCGTATACTTGAAAGTTATAGTTTCCCCTCATCTATAATCGTTTGGGAATCAGAGTGTTACTGTTTCCATATATCGTTCGAAAGATCGAGTTATGATCGTATAATAGCCAGCCTGTACTTATCCCCGAAGCGATGGAGGTTCAGGGAAAGGCAAGTCTTCGACTGGGGGGGCCTGAAGAGTAGCACATCCTGAACCCTCTGGCCCCAAGTCGACTGGAACTCGGCCGAGGACCCATAGATCTCTGTGATCGTAATTGGAAAATTATACGAGAAGAAGTTGATGAAGATCTTGGTAAGGACATGCGGTAGGAGGGCCGTTAGCATGCTGTACTTGGTCTGACCGATTGAGGCCAAATAGATCATGATCTGCTGCTGCCTGATGCACTCCACAATTCCGTGCAAATGACGGGCATGCTCCACATCTGGCTGACGCAGTGGCAGCTGCAGAAAGACCACACCACCTATATTATCGCTTTTGTCCCCTCGGCGATCGGTGAAGTATCCCTTAGAAATGGTCCTACAAGTAGTGTTCAAAAGCGAAGGCACTGGCGCCAGATCGGAGAAGGTGTTGAAGTAATCATGTACGGCGCCGGCCAGACACGTGAGACTAAAGTCCGATTCTCGCAGCTGATCGTTAAATCTGTCCCGATGTCGTTCCCTCAGCTGGGTGCCATCTATAGAGCGACTGAAGGAGACTATTTTCCTGCCCGCATAGGATTTCTTGTGCAGAATATTCAACTCCTTGGTGGGCTGTTCGAACAGCACCTCATAGATGTTGCGGGGCGCCTTGAACAGTTCCCAGCAGATCTTGACCAGCTCCAGTTGGGCGTACAGCAGGAGCGGCACATACAGATGCAGCCGGGCACAGTAGGTGGATGTGTAGCTGGTCTGGCCTCTCAGCAGGATATCCCGCATGGCCAGGGCCTCGCAGTAGAAGTGGTAGGGCAGGAGCAGCCACATGAAACGGGTCCAGACCTTGGCCAGATTCGTGGGCTGCAGTACCTATATCCCAGAAACACTACATACATCCCCTCTGGCGGGTATCCTTCAGTCGTAGCCTCCCCATCTTGTGCTCCCAAATTAATCTCTCCACCAAATGGGAAACTTTATTTGGGAGTTTCCTTTTGGTTTGTTGTTGTTCTTTTTGTCGTTTGTGTTCTTTCTGTTCTTTTGGTTTTTATGTTTTCTCTCGGTTTCCGCATAATTTATTGTCAAATTATTGAGCTAATGAAGTGAAGTGAGAGCGCCATGCCCCCCCGCTCCCCCCAGCCACGCCAGGCTGTTGTTTGAGATTACCAGCAATTTATGCACGAAAGCGCGCGCCAGGCTCTGCCTCCGACTCTTGCTGTGGCTGGCTCCTTGCCATTGCCACCTTCATCATAAATCTTGCCACGAGTCAAGCAGCCGTGTGTGCACACACACACACACTTGCAACAAATCATCTACATGCCTGTTGTTGTTGGCTGGGCTGCTTGAGGTGTTTCGATTGTGATTTGAGTGCCGATTGAACAAGTGTTTCGGCAGGTGTAATCGACCTTTGATTGAAGTCGAGAGGCAAATGGGGTACTGGTTGGTTGCCTGCCTGTTGCATATATCAATGAGATATATATGTATCTTTTTGATTGCCTTTCCCTTGAACTTTTCCCGCCCCTCTCGCAAATTGTGAAATTTTTAGAAAATTCATTTCCGACAAAAGTTTTCCTGTGATGAATTGTAATACAAATGAGCGAAAACAGTGGCAGCCATGTCTCGCGCACCTTCGCTGTGCCCCAAGCCTTTCCCCTTCATAGTTTTCATCCATTTCCCGGCACGTCGTTTAGTGCAACAACTTAATTTGCATATCAGCGCCGCCAAATTGCAGGCGGCATGCAATGATTGAGACGGTGGGCGGGGGGGGGGGGGTGGCGAAAAGTCAGGCCAGAACCCGACCAGACCCGACCCCAACGGTTTGGCATGAGGAGAAAATGGAAAATTGTTTTGCAGCAGGGAAGCACACACACGAGCACACTCACACACTCACACACTCACACTTCATCAATTTGCCAATAAACTTGTGAGTACTTGGCGCAATAGTTGCCTACATTTCAATCAGGGCAAACACTCAAGAGAGAGAGAGTGGGAGAGGGGGAGTGGGAAGCGAGAGCTCTTTGCCCTTTGGCTGGCCCCAACCCTCCCCCCAACCATCTCTTCGTGCAACACTTGTGCGAACTTTTCGAGTCAGCGCAAAAATTTTATGCACATGGCATAAAATCGAAATCAAAGTTGTTGCTGATTTGGCGCAAAATTAACAGGCAAAGCAGGCGTTGAGCCTTCAATCTCTGGACAGGACCGGCTTGGTCCTTTCCTTTGGTGGGCTCTGGGTGGGGGGGGTAGGGCTAGGGCTCCCAATGTGGGCAATTAAAGCGAAGAAACCACCCAGGAACCAGGTCCCAGGTCCCAAGTGCCCCAAGAAGGAAGTCCTGCTCGCGTCTTGACTCAAATTAAATTTGCATTTCAAATTCCGTTTTTGTGTTGACATCGCAGGCTAGGGGGAGGGGCCGGGGCCGGGGCCAAATCAAAGTATTTAGTTTTAGACAAATCTATGGGGCAGTACTGCCAGGCACAACACACAAACAAACAAACAAACAACCAGAAGAAAAAACGGAAACATCTAACGAATGGGGGATAACCATTGTTGAGGTGCAAAGGTGAGGGTTTCTTCTGGGAGAAGTGACAATCCAGCAAACAAGGGATAGTTATAGGTCTCTGAAGTTCTATATAGAACAAGCCATGAGAGAAAATCCCTATCTTCTTAGGGATACTACACAATTCTCTAGATTTGAAGGGTAGAATGAGCACTTATTTCACTGCATATTTCACCTAAGTCTCTTCTGCTTCTCTCTAAAGACTGTCTATGTTGTTGTTGGATTCTGGGGACCGACTCAGCGGCCCTAATCATTGTAGAACAGACGACGCGGAGTAGGCGGTCGAAGCATGGCCTGAGACGAAGAGCGAATTGCAACCCCCGACATAGAACAGCTTTTTGGTGTCTCACCCAACATTATGGTATTGTATAGTCCTTGCTAAGACATACTAGATCTTCCTGGGACTCTTTGAAATCTACACTGTAGATATGCTTCTCCCATGGTCTTCAGATATCCATGAATCTGCCATCGATTCTATTGTTCATTCCCATCCGGAATGAACACCCATTCCCACACGTTACCAACCACTCCCCGTAAACAGCACACCCCTAGACAGTACGCCATAAATAACGGGTATCAAGATATCAGAAAGAAGGAAAATAAAGAAAGCAAAAACTGGAATGAATGAGCAGGTGCGTTCCATCCCCAGTCGTGGCCGCTGGCCACTGGCCCTGCATATAAATCAAAATAATTTCGTTGCCTGATGTAATTTTACAGCAGAAGGAACAGCCGAAGAGGGTGGAAGGGGGGGAGGGTGGGGTAGGCAGGCGAAGGACAAATCATGAAAAGGACAAATGAAGTGAAATTTAAATGATTGCTGCATACTCGCAGGCGTTTGCCGAACCACTTATTTTCACCTAATTGCACACTCGAGTGGACAGACGATGCTTTTTCCAGTTGGCTGGAACATGGGGACGTGTGCCCTTAGGGGTGTCCCCCCGCAGGGGGAGAGGGGTACCAGGACCCATACCCATGCGGCCAGGGCTTTTTGGGCATTTAATGTTGCCAAATATTTGACAAATATTTTGGCCTCCCATCCTGGGATTTTCTCTTTTTGGGGGCAATAGGGGGGGAAATCTATGTGTGCGTGTGTGAAAATCATTTATGTAATCTGTAAGCATTTCTTGTGTGTTTTTGACAATAAGTGAAAACCAATTATAAAGCGGCATAAGAAAGTGAGAGCCGGAAATTGGCAAAAGTGTCAAAGAAGGAACGTGTCAAACCCACACACACACACGCAGTAAAAGCTAAAGCTGAGGGAGGAAAATCCAAGCGGGGAGATGGAAAAGTGAAAACCGCAGGCAGCTCATTAAAGGCACGGCCCTACTTTTGTTTTTGTTTAATTTTTTTTGTTTTGTTGTGCAAAACAAATGGAAATGGAAAATGCAAATTAACCATTTTCTTAATGGGGCTTCTTGCAGTCCAGTCCTTGTCAAACTGCAGCCGCAGAGACACCGCCTGAAGTTTTCAATTAAAACTTGGAAAAGAGCAAGTCTCTTTTTGCTGCACGTAATGACTTTTTCCGGTTATCAGTGGCTGTAAGACTGTAGAGGCTTGTAAAACTGCGAAAGTGAAAGAAACTTTCGTGGAAGATGTAGCTTCAAAAAGTAGGATATATTTTAAAGATTCTTTAAGGGGGATTTTGAATGGGGATGATATAGTTTTCAGTACTTTTAGATGTGGCTAGTAGTTGTCCGCTAAGACGTTCCTTCAGCTCTTTATCAGTATGCTCATATAGATCTTCCAAAGAGTCGTCTCATGGAATCCAACATCCAAAATCCATCGACAATATATATGTACAGTCTTTGGTGACCTATTTTTCGCTTCGCAGCCTTTGCCGATGCTCATAAGTCGGTCCCAAGAAAGCAAAAACAATATAATTTGTCTGGACTTGCCAATCAATTGGTTTGGAACAGCTTTCTGCCACAGATTGAGTGACGGCGACACTTGAAAGCTTTTCAAATTGTAGTTTAGTGTATCTTTTGATGACTTTTTATGCAACATTCTAATCACAACGAAGCATATGCACGAGTATACCTTATGTTTATGTCATTGTTTAGAATTGATGTCATTCATTTATGTCACTTTACTTTCATTTGCACCACAGCACAGAGATTGAGCTTGATAGATATTGTTTTACAGAGGAAATGCCTCAAAACTCAAGGTGGAGATGCACCCATAAGACACGCACTTTCCCATCAACATCTTGTACATCTTGGGCTTCCCAAGTCAATTTTCGCAACTCAATCAATCAGAAAACTTAGACACCATGCTGCTGTGTGTGTGTGGGTGTGTGCTGCAGTTCAATAAACTTTTTGCCCAAAAATGTAAAGAGAAACCTCAAAGTGCACTCGATCTGCCGCTGCCCCTGCCCCTGCCCAGCCCACGATTCCCCCCATGACATGTCGACAAAAGCAATGATTCCTTTTGGGGGGGATGCATCCCGGCACCACAAACGTTACGCGCTTGGAGCCGCGCACTGCATGTCATGACATGAGCAGGAAATGCGTTTTCCGACGCCGCAGCTGAAGATGGCTGGAAAAGCGGGGTGTTGGAGAGTGGAGAGCGGGAAGTGGAGAGTGGAGAGCGGAGAGTGGCAGTAGGGAATAGGAGTTGGTTCTTGGTTTCTTGGTTAGGTTTACGGTTACGGTTTTTTGGCCATGCCCCGTGTACCGTGCGCCTTGTTCCGTGTGCACCAAAGCGCAGCGCCATAAATATTTAAATTGTGGAAGGAAGCTCTTCTCTCCCACTCCCCTCTACGCCTGTCTGGCGTGTTGCTTGCCGGCTTATTTTTTGACAGTTATCGATTCGCTTCTGGTTGATGCCACTGGCAGTGGCACTGGCACTGCTACCGTCTTGAGTCGCGCCTCGTAGACGTTTTATCTTGCCGCGACTCGCTTGCAATTCATTTCCTAAAATATGCATAAGAAGCGGCAGCCAACGAAGAAGGTAAAAAATATATCAGTGTGGGGTGGCGAAGGGGATGGATAGAAGGTGGGAAGGGGGAAAGGGGAGGGAGTACTGTGGAAAAGCCAAAGAAACGGCATCATTACATTGGATACGCGCTGTCAAGCGGCTTGCCACGCCCCCACTCAGAAAAGGGTAAAGCCCCACAAACATATACACTGGAAAAATGGGGTGGGGCTTTCGAAGAAGAGAGGGGCGCGATATTAGCCATCGATCGTTGGAAATTCAAGGCGAAAAATTCCCAGTAAATTTTAAAAAATATTCAAATGTGTTTTTGGTTTGAAAATATTTGAAAAATAGAGGATAGAACCTGGAGAAGGAATGGCAGGGATAACCAACACGCATACATTCGAAACTCAGTCATCGGCTGCCTTATGACTCTTATAAGAAAGCACCCGAGCGGAGATCGGCTTTAGAGCGCTCTCTTGCGGCTTTTCAACAACAATTAGGAGAGCCTGGAATCATTTTCAAGCTGAAAAAATCGTGTACCATGGTAAAATATTTCTTTTAATATATTTTCTTTGGCAAAACCATTCTGTTCTTCATTCCGGACCAAAAAAGAATATAATTTTGATCGAAAAACACTTAGCTTTTTGTTGGATCGATTTCAAAGGGTTAGACACTTTCAGAATCTCTCGAATCTACCAATATCTGGCATAAAATCATTTACAGCCTGTGGGATCTCTGACTAATTGTTACCTCTAATTGATGGGCTTTTTCTCGCAGTGCATCAACCGCATTCAATTCTCGTATGTTGAGAGTTATGCAGCATAAGCCCATCCTTCTTTCGGCGGCAGTTGAAAACTTTTGGCAGCACCAGAACTCGTTTGCCACTTTGTGCATGTTTAACTTTTAAGGCATCTCCACCCACCACCCACCAGCCACCACCTGCCCCTCCACCCCCCTTGGCTTTGATCAAAAGTGACACTCAAGTGGTGAAAATGCTTTGCATTGAATGCAACAACGTGTCTGACACAAAAAAAAAACTCCCAACAACTCAATTAACAAAAGCCAAAAAGCCCCCCAAGACTTTACGGATTTCTGAGTGTCTGTGTGTGTGTGTGTGTGTGTGTGGGTGTGGAGGGTGAAACATTTTGATTGACCAACCAACTAACGTGTTTTCCTTTTGCATGCCACTGCCACTGCCACACCCTGGGGGCGAATCGTGTCTCTGATGCATAATGGAAATGCAGGCAAATGTTTGTCAAATATTTACAAATTCTCAATTAAGCCGAGGAAAAACAATGGAAATTCTGCAACGAAAATGTGTAAAGATTTATTGAGGAATTAGCCAAGAATTTAAGGCATTTTTATGTGGAATTTAGGGCTTAACTTTTTTTTGGTTTTAAGTGGATTATTTTTATTGTGTTAAAAGATTTATCAATCAACAGTATTTGTGCATTTTGTTTGTCAAAATTGAGTTGTGTTGATGTAAGTCAAGTGGCAAATTGATTGATTGATTGCAGGGAGATATTTTGCGTTAAGGAAAATCTTTTCGAAGTTTTCTTTGGAGCTAAAAAACCAATGAAAATGTTGGCTCTGGCTGTTGCTTGAATGATTTAGACATTCCTTTCTGTAAATCAAATAAAAGAAGAGGGTCTTCCCCGTGATTCATGCCACAAGACTGGTTCTCAAATGTGAATCCCGAGTTTAAGAAATTACTCACTGAAATCCATTCCATTTATTCTCTTAAACCCGAAAGTTGTCCCATAAAAAAAGCTTTTGAAAGCACAAAGCTTAACTGCAGAAAGCGAATATCAAATGGAACTCTTATCTATCGATAATAAAGTTCACCTATCGATATGTGGCATGATTAAACGCCCTCCAACCAAGCACACCTGGCGTATGCGTAATACACACATTTCGCAAAGCTTTTTTCTCTGGAAAGAGAAGCAGCCGATAAGGGGCAAAGGGTATATGTTCTATTTTAACATTTAGTCGGAGTCAATGGCAAGCCAATCTATCAGTAACCCACGATAAGTCCAACCGTTTAGACGTGCCAAAAGTTAACGAAAATGCCACCACCACACGATCATTGCGGCGGTCCCCCGCCCCACCGTCGTGGGCCAACCATCAAAGTGCAGATCGCTGCCCCCTGGCCACGCCGTCATCGTGCACCACCGCCACCCATTGTCGTGGTGCAGCAGAGACCACCACCGCCACCACCCGTAGTCGTGGTGCAGCAGGCACCACCGCCATATGGATACTACCAACAGCCGCCGCCACCGCCAGGACCTCCCGGAGACGGTCACTACCACAATCCCCAATACTGAACGGGAAAGCGAGAGAGTGAGGGGAAGGATCCAGGAAAGATGAAGATGAATTTATTTTAGCCGTAGAGAAAAATGTATTAAAAATATAAAATATACGACAAAAACAAAACACTTGAAGGAATGTGGTTTATGGATTTATGGAACAAAGTGGAAGTACAACAGGTGTTCGTTATCAAAGATCGAAAAAACATGAATAATACGCAGAAATGATTGCATTTTTAATGGCAGCTAATCTAGTATTTATTTGAGACTTTTATTGAGGAAAAGTATCTACATTTCATGGGAACTTCTTTGCAATCAAAGAACAACATCATCCATTTCTATTCATTTTTTTGTGGAAGAATCTTTTTATATCAAAATTGGCTAATTTTCGAGTACTTTTCTCCCCCTGCCAAAAGAAAGTTCATGTCTAATTTTCTCCACACATTTCTCTATGCCATTCCCCAGCTTATCTCACAGATAAGCAAAAAGTTATACCCCACCAGCGATAAGCAGTGGGTCAGATAATAAGGTAAACAATAGTCAGGTGAAAAGAGAGACCACAACCCGATCAATACCCATCCATGGCTATCGAGCACACACACTATCGCTATCAGAACCCCACATCGAATGACTCAGACACTCGTTATCTCTAACGCGCCTGGAATAAGGCCCCTAAGCCCCGCCGCACCACACACACACACAAAACATCAGATTGATGTTCCCGTTCTTCCAGTGGCATTGCGGCATTCTTGGGTTCAGTATTCAGCGCGTTGTTGTCTGGTTAGGATTGTTGAAAGTTGAGGAACGGAGAATTAATATACATTGAAGACACAGGCATGCGACCGTACTATGAGGATCCATGTGGCTGTCCTCCTCGTCATCACCATGGTCGTCCAAATATCGAAATTGATGTTCTTCCCAATTGGGGTGGCGGTTACTATCCGCCGGCGGCTCCGGCTCGGACCGAGGTTGTCTACGTAACGCCAGGGGCCTCCTACATGCCGCCAGCAGTCGGGCCCCAGATGATGATGCCACAGCCATACGGCGGCATGACAATGGGCTCCGCCGGCTACTACCAGCAGCAGCAGGGCTACGAATATCAGTATCAATATCAACAGCAGCAGCCATATCCACCATATCCACAATATCAGCAGTGGTAAAAGAGGACTATGGATGATCTGGAACCTATATAGCATGGAATCTGTGGAAGATCTGCCTTCTAGGGCGAAAATATGTGAATCAAACTCAAATTAAAGAAATCAATGTCTTCAGCATACAATAAAAGTATTTCCTATAAAGTGTAAACAAGCAAAAGATAACAAAGAACCTCTATTTAATCTTAAGTTAAGGGAACTGTCATCGAAACAAAAAATAATAATGATATCAATAATATATGGGTGCATATGTGTAAGAAAGATTGAGCAAGCTGGAGCATTGTAGGAGCAGGGGCTTGCGACGGGGAACGGCAGTAACCGCAGATCAGCAGCAGAGGAATAGCAGTAACAGCAGATCAATAGCGGGAGATCAACAGCAGATTAACAGCAGATCAGCAGCCTTAACAGAGGAATGACAGATCAGCAGCAGACGAATAGCAGTAACAGCAGGTCAACAGCAGTGGCAGGAGATCAGCAGTAGGGCAACAGCAGTTTCATCCGATCTACAGCGGTAACAGCAGTAGAGGAACAGCAGCTCAACAACAGAGTAACAGCGGATCAACAGCAGATAAGCAGAAGGCCAACAGCAGAGTAACAGCGGAAGGAGATAAACAGCAGACAAACAGCACAGGCAGAAGGAGAGCACAGCAGGGAAAAAGAGGAACAGCAAAAAGGTGTCGTTTAAAGAGCATCGCAGAAGCAGCAGAAATCAACCGAAATCCATCCTTGAAGCTAAAACTAATTGGTCTTACACTTAGCAGCCTATCGCGATTGAATAATATCAATAAACTATCAGCTAAATAATATCTTAAATATGTCAGAGTCTGGTTATTATTAAGCGGCTCATCGTGCTCTTGTATGTCGTCAGGCCATGTTGTAGATATGTTCGTATGCTCTTGATCAATGATCTCTTCTCATGTGATGTTCTCACTCTATTTTCCTTCTTAATCTTCTTTTCTTCTTCCTTTTCCACTTGAAAAAGACTTCTGCGAAGCTCCTCTAAAGTGTGTTGTGTCTAAGAAACTCTTGAGACCCTACTCGTACAGATGAATCACTATTCCATCAGTTTGTAAGTGCCTACATAGGAAAGGGATTTTCGATTGCTTCGGCCACTTGATGGTGCACTCTTAAAGACTGCCAATTCCTATCTTATCTGGCACTAAGAAGAACCTAAAATATATGCGAGTTTCTTTTGTCCACTTTCATATGGAAATTAATGAGGGAATTTCTGCAAAAATGGCAACTCAAATTATATATTTTCAATACCATACCATACCATATGTAGATAGCATTTCTCTGGTGAAATTCATGCGCTCTTATCCAAAATTACACTCCACGACGAAATTAATCATTTTGAATGTACTTTGCACCAGACAAAAATTACGTTGTAGGCCTGAAAGAGTAGACCACATTTTCATATCAATATACACCGAATATATATTTTAGTTTTCATGATTTTTACTGGGCATATGACTTAAAAATATATAAAATTGTATGCCTTTGGATATAATTGATCTACCTGGCGATATATCGAGACAAAAACAAATATCTATTCCAAACTATGCCATCCCCTTGTCATTTAGGCCCATATTCTTCAGATTTATATGTTTTCCAATCACTGTCATTCGATCTTTTGTTCTAGCTTTCGTTTTTCATTCCATTTATCACATGAGCAGATATCCATAAAAATAGTCTGTTTTTTCTCTGCATTTATATTTCAAGTTGTCTGTCCTTCCCCTTTACCCAAAAATGTGATGATTCATTGTAAAAGCAAACCTAAAACCTTGAACCTCTTGAAAATGAAAATCACACTTACCTCCCAATAGCCGCCCAACCACCCCCTCACTGGAAATTGTTTTATCAATATATATATATATATATATTTTTTGTTTTTATCGAAGAAGACATTAAGTCCACCTGACAAGATAATGAAATTAAGCTTCTGTGCGGCAAAACAAGTGTACAAAATTCCCCAATTAGCGATAAAAGAGGCCTTAAATAGTTAGGCAAATGCCAGTAGAGCTTCAGTTCGAGCAAAGACCCAAAAGGAGCAGCAAGCACTTGCCACATAAAGGATAGCACGAGAGAAACCAGACAACCAGAAAGAGACAGACAGACAGCCATGCCGTACTACGAGGAAGAACGTCGTCACCACCATCATCATCATCATGGTGGCCGACCCATCGTGGAGGTGGATATCATACCGCCAAGGATACCCCGGCCAGTGATTGAGATCGATGTGGGTGGTCGCCGTCCACCCCCGCCCAGGGTGGAGGTGATCACACCGGCGGCTGTGTACCAGCCCCCCTATCAGCCACAATACCAGCAGCAACGGCCCATTGTCGAGGTGGATGTGGTGCAGCCGAGCAGGCCCTTCATTGAGTTCAACATTGGCGGTCGTCGCCCGCCCCCACGGGAGGAGATCATCGTTGTCCAGCAGCCACCACCCAGGTGGTAGACGGACACAGCAAACAGGACTGTAACTGGAACTGGAACTGCCGTCAGTTAATTGGAAATCCGTTTCAAATGTTTGTTTAAATAAGTTAAATGCATTTTATTTTATTTTAATTGAAATCTACATGATTGCCTTTCAATGTTGTTTGTCCTTCGATGTGTGACATCATTCGATTGTCCAACCACTACACACACACACACACACACGCACACACACACACATACACTGAAATATATAAATGTTAATGGCATAAATATGAAAATTAAACTGTTTGGCAAATGCCAATTCCCGTTTTTTTTTTGTACTTTGAAACGGAAATGATTGATGTCCTTTTGGCCTGCAGGATAGTCCTATCAATTAGTGAACAACTATTTGCCATTTACTGTCCTGGGGTTTTTCTCCCTTTCGTTTTTTACAGTTTCAATCAAATCTAGACTGCAAAATTCCATTTGTTTGGGGCTTTTTTCGGTTCCATTCGGGGGGACCGTTTGCTGAATTAATTTCGTGCATTCAATTGCTCTTTTAGTGGCGTATAAATATTGCTCATATTATTGGTGTTTGCTGAAATGTGAGGTCTTTAAATTTTGGGCAGAGAATTTGATCTGCGAATGATATTTGTAAGCCATGGGATCGTTTTTTCAAGTCTCAGTAAGGCGATAAATCAATTACAATCGGTCATAACTAGAGCTTAACTTCTTATAACAATGATCCATAGGGATACCTATGATAGGGTCTTCAAAAAAAGTACAATACCACTTGCTTTGTGATGTACAGTCGCACTTCTCTATTAAGAACTTCCATTTGACGAAGTTTTCTATATAAAAAATTTATTACGAGAAAACTGGAATTTATTCTGGTAAAAATGAATTTCCCGTTAAACGAATTCCCCTTGAAATTCGCTATAGGGAAGTGCGACTATATATCATTTTATTGAATGTGTAAACTCGTATTTTTATTGTGAGAAAAATCCCTTTCATACCTTTATATACTCTTACATTCATATAAATATATCTACTATAGGGCAAGCCCACATCAACGCGATTTATCAAGAATTAACTGAAACTATTCGGCGGTCAGTCATTTAATTTTTAACCTGAATAAAATACTCTGAATAAAATACTTTTTTATAAACAATTCGATTCATATGATTATCTACGATTTACTTTGTAAAAATCGCTTTAAAAACTTTTTCCAAAATGAAAAAACACGAGAAGAAAAGCATTCCTTAATTTTTTATTCATGGTATAATTTTTTTAAAAATATATTTTATTAGGAGAATTTGGAAAAAATCATATAAAATATAAAAAAAAATTCCATCAAAAGAAACGCTAAGAAGTGCTTACATTTTTCGGATAAACTAGGGGACAAGCCCCCTGATCACTCAACCAACGACTACCTATGTATAACTTTTGTATATAATAGACAGATAAATATATCTAAAATCCATCTCTTCTTATACTCCAAAAAATATACCATAGGTCATGGCTGGTAATTCCTATTAAAAAGCCTTCCATACAACATCTGTTAATGATTTCAAGCTCAAAAATGTTCAAGTACAATCAATTTCAATATGTTGTTTAAATAAACCCCAGAAATACACAAATGATCCCTTAATATTCAGTTTTAAGTACTACCCAATAATGACTCACAGAACTGCAGCCGATCTTGAGGTAGACCCCAGATACGAGGACACCCATGAGTCACTCCCTGAGGCCTAAGAGTCAAAGAGTTAGACCAGCCCTGGCAAATGAATCACAGTCGTGGCTGCTATGGACTCTCTTTCGACCACAGAGACTGCACGAAAAATGGATCCATCAACGTGGCGATAAGGGGGCATAGAGGATTTCCTTATCGGGGACTACTGTCCGCCACAATATAAAGGTAGAATAGAATAGAATATATAAATGGACTGAACAAACTGGAAATTAAACATTCAACGAACACAAATCGAGCAGCGAAAAACAGCGACAAATCGAGTGCGAAAAAATGTCAGACATTCAGGTTAATGTGCAGTGCGAGTGCTACCATCGTCGGGGCTTGCTCTATTTTGCCAATCCATTGGCCTGGGGACGTCCCTGCGGCCGTTGCCGTCGCATGATGCGCAGGAATATCGTAGTGGTGCCAACAACAACAACTGTGGCAGTGCCAGCAGCCACCACAGGACCCTGCTGCGCCCACACCCACACCCAAACCACTGTGGTGCAGGGCCAACAGGCAGCCAACTGGCAGATGCAACAGCAGCAACAGCAGCAGCTGCAACAGCAGCAGCAGCAGCAGCAGCAGCAGCAATATGCACCGATGAACGTCTCTGCATTGCCACCAAAGTACGACCAGGCGGTGGCCTCCTACTAATCCCAAGGGTTTTCGGGATCATTTGTAACCGGTGGGAAAAAAAAGCGAAAATCTAATAAAAATCGTTGAAGAAACATTGCAGCAAACAAACAGAAAGTTGTCTCTGGGCCGCCCCAAAAAATCCCAGCAGAGACCTCGTTAAATGAGTATTAATTGGCCCGGCACCCGGCGCCCAGATCCCAACAACTGCTTTGTGCAATTAAAACAAATTGTAGCCAACAGATACACCAGCAGCAGGAGCAGCAACAGCGACCTGGTTAAAACCACAGACTAAGTTGGTCTTGGTCTATCTATGGGATATCTGTGGGTTCTCTAGATACCCTAGAAGAGGATGTAATAGGGATGATTCTATATTCAATAGAACCCTCAAAATATCTATCAGATTTGCTAACTTAGGAGCAAGGGAGCCTCTTTAAGGTCTTCAAAAAGACCTTTATATTCGATCATCATACCTAGATCCCATATTTCTATTATCTTCGATTGGTTTACGCCTTTATCCCGTCGAAATCTGGCATAGATCGTTCCTCTCCATATAGTTTCCTTTTATCCAGGGATAATTCCCTCATCTATAGGTATTTCCCAATTCGTTTCCTTTGAAAAGCCATCACTTTTCTCTGGTATATGTGCTGTCTTGCCACCTTAACAAAGGTCTAACTGGTTTAGCAGCATCATAAAACTTTTCTGCACATAATAATTCATATTAAACTTGCCCTGACTCTACCTTCTATCTGTGGCTTTGGCTTTGGCTCTGGCTGTGGGCCAGGTCAACCATCCTGCCATCCTGCCAGCCAGCCATTCATTCACTCATTCATGCCACACCGCTCCTTATTCATTCATTCATTTAGCAAAACAAAGGCTGCAACACCACAGACTAAACACATTTCTGGCCAGAAAAGAAGGCTAAAAGTCGGCTTCACTTTGGCTTTTGTTGAGCTTGGCCAGGCTCTGAAGCCACGAGGGTTGTTATTAGAGATCGTGAAGGATGAGTCCATCTATGGGATATAATTAGGGAAACCGAAAAGTTCCGATAGACAATATTGAACCAATTTTCGGAGCGAGGCACAAGTCAATAGCTCCTAAAGTTTACCCCGCCCCCAATAAATCACAAATTCTCATAGCCACCCTCTCAAACTATTACCCCCCACACACACACACCGCCTACCCATTACCCCTTTCATCAGCCTTTAGAGCCTTTGCAGCCCTTCCCCTTAACCATTTACCCCATCGCATGGCTCATCAGACTCTGGCGACCTGCTTTCGCCTGTTGTTTTATAAACAATGAACATATTATGTGTAATCCAACAACAATAGCCCTAGGAGCAGGCGAGGTAAAGACCAGACTGCCTGCCAGACTGCCAGACGACTCTGTAGGCAGTCAAAAAACAAGGTGTTTCCGACAATTTTTACTTGCCCCGAGGCCTGACTGCCTGTGCCTCACTCTGTGTGCGGCCAACGTCAACGTCATTGTCGACCGTTTAGCATCTTGGAAAATGGCATGCTATTATTGAAGAAAATTATGGCAGGTGGGTGTGTGGAAAAGCACCCAAAAGTGCCTGGAGTTTTCACCGGCCTTTGTTTCGGCATTCTAAAGTTTTTTTTTGCATGATTGAGGAACCTGCAGTTAGCCTCAAATGATTTCCTTCTGTTAGCCCTTGAGTGAATCCTTTAGTGCTTAGCCACTCCTCCACTCCCGAGACCTCCCTTTTGTCTGCCAGGAAAAACCAGGACTCGTTTTAGTTAGGGAACATTTTTAATTGTGTTTCCGGTAATTTACACTCTATTAAAAAATTTACCCCAGCTCTGGTCTCTCTCTCTCTCTATATTTCCATCTCCTAAGCTAGCTTTCATAGATTGAAAGGACATTATTTGGTCATCATCATCATCCAAGGGGAAAAGGCCCAGAAGCAGGAGCAGTAGTAGGAGGAGTCCGAGAGTAAGATTGGCTCTGTCTATTGGCAAAATCAAATTACATTAATAACTAGAATTGGGCATAAATCAGAGGGTGTCCTGACAGACTTCTCTCATGATCTTCCCACTGAAAATCGGTTGTGTTTTCCCAAAATGTTTGGTCAGTTTTCAACAAGAGCCAAAGACCAAAAACCCACACTAAAAAAATGGAAGGTGATGATAGAGGAAACGAACAGAAAACCACAAAATTTTGGAGAACATTTTACAGTAGCATCAGACTTGGGGCTTGAGCTGCCACATCCCCCCGCCGCCCGCCCCATCCACAAACAGTTTTGTGCTGTGATTGTTCATTGAGGCATAGGGGAATCCCTGAAGGAGTAAGAGTAGTTGTGTGGCATGAATATGTGGAGTAAATGAAAGGACCAGAGACCACTCTGAGACGCCTTTCATAGTTGATTTTGGCCAGGCAGTGGGGCCCACACACAAGCCCACAAAATGCATGAAATGTCTATTCTAATCCGGAAATTAAATTCCATTTAGAAATTGTCCTATACAAAATGTTTGGTCAGACGTGGTCCATCCTCTCTGGCACACACACACACACACACACACACATATGTATGCACAAGTTCTCCCCTGTGTATGTCTCCTGTTTGTGTGTGTGCGTAAGATCCTGGATAGCTGGGAGTACCAGCCATCTATATGCTTAATTTATGGTGAGCCACTTGTCCAACAAGCGACAGGAGGCATTCTCTGCTGTTGTTTTTGGGCTTTGGGCCAGAGAACTTTACCCATCAAAATATTTGGAGAATCCCCCTCAGGGGTAACAGTTTTTACCCGATTGTCGATGCGGCAACGCCCCTCGGTCGGCTTGCCTTTGTGCCACATCAAAGCCTTCATTACATTATTTACTGCACTCTTTCAATAGGCCGCCAAGTAATTAGTTGTGAGATCTGAAGAGATTGAAGATTCAGATGGGGTTTTTGGCATGCTTCTTATTTGATCTACACTTAAGCCATCACCTATCAAAGGTGGTATCTACTGTCTGTCAGCTCTGAATCCTGCCCGTGGGACTATCTCCGACCCATGGGCACACTTCTGGTCGCTCCTGATCGATTCCTTTATGTGATTATACAGTAGACGACAGCGATGATTACAATAACATGAGCGTCCTTAGCCTGAACCTTAAATGGATCCCCGGAACGGATTTTGAGCTCTCACTGCAGCGGAAGCGCATGTTAGGAACTGTGGAAAGTGAGTTTTTCTTCCTTTTGGTTCCAAATTGAAATTAGACATCCTGAAGACATCGAAGTAACCCTTAAAGAGGTCTCCCTTCCCTGGCAAAAAGGAATCCCTATTCGTTGTGTAGATTATTCTCTGTGTCATGTCATTGTCATGACTACGCCTTTGTCCTAACTGTATGATCTTCTGCTGTCTGCGTACTCTTTTCTTAGGTGCCTCTAGGTGCTTTGCCTCCGTTTCGTTTGCTGGCCGTTATTCTTGTCAGTTGCCTATTCCTTTGCCGTACTTGGATTGGTGACAGTATTCGCTCGGAGAGGATCATAGGAGCGCGATAATGAGTGCTCCTTGGTGCAGGGAATATTTGGCATAGAAAGAAGGGTTCGCAAGTCTCGGAAGTCCCTTACGTTCTACAACTTGTGCCAAGGACTAAATAAAAACGGTATTTGTACACTTCTATCTGGAATTATTTTTTTTACTTCTTTTACTAGAATTTAAGTCATTAAGATATCTAAATGAATCTCCTATTTCCATGGAGTGCCACCCTGCATCCGTACACCGACGGTGATGAATTCCGGTCCGGTGCGCTTGCCGGAGCCGTTGGAGCTCTTCGAGGCGCGCCGCGAGTCCTTCGCCGAGGCCGTGGAGAATTCGCCCGGCGACTTGGTAGAACCTGGCAGCTTGGACGGGGATCCAGAGTAGCGCAGAGTCGACTCCCCGACCGGCCTGCGCGTGCAGTAGACTGGGGCGTTGCGGTCGGCACGCTTCCGAGCGCAGGCTCCCGAGGTTGATTTGCCACGCGCCTTCCCCTTGCCGTCGCGCCTGCGCTTCTGGGTGGCCTGGGTGGCCTCCTCGGTGGCTTGCACGGGGCCTTGGGGCTGGCAGAACTTCAGGCACAGCTGGGCATTGTAGAGACGAGCGGCACGGGCATCCTGCCGAATGAAGGCGCAGACGAAATCGCCCAACCGGAGCGTGGCGACCGTGTAGACCAGCCAGTTGAGATCAACGGCTCCCTTGACGCGGACATTGAGCTTCTGCAGCATCCACACGAGGCTCCTGTACTGGCCCGGCTTCAGCACCGGCGCGAGAAACAGCAGGCGCATCACCTTGTGCGCGTTGTCCTCGTCCAGCGGATCGATAAACTCTCCGCACCGGTCGTAGATGCTGTCGTTGATGGCCAGATCTTCCGCCTCCGTGTATGGGGCCTTCACTCTCTCCAGCGCGCGGCCGTTCCTATGGCACGACTGCGTCTCGAGAAGCGCCAGCCGGCAGAGTGTGGACATCACATATTGGATGCGGCAGCGGAAGAGCCTGGCCAGCGAGTACAGGATGGCCTGATTGCGGTGGCAGGAGCATCGGCACGCGTGCTGTGTGTCCGTCTTGCAGTGGGCACACTGGAATGCCGTGCAGCACTTACCTTCCTTGGGCACCGCCATCACCAATTTCTCCGGCCGCTGGCAGCTCTGCATCCTCTGCGCCCCTGCAGGGCAGCACGGGGCACACATTATCTTATCAAAAATTTAGCTCAATTACTAGAAGGATCTCTAATGGAAGATTACGTTACAATTTGTTGTCTCCCAACTCTAGGAGTTTTCAGCTCGATTCGAACGATTCAAAGTCGAAGGCATGCTCAGTTTTGGGCAGATCGCAGAGGAAAAACCCTTTATTCCACTAATAAGAGGACAATCTTCTAAGAATCTTCTCCATAATCGTTACTGAAAAGTCCCCTAAAGCTCCATGAAACTTGCTAATAAGTTGGCACCAGTAGCTGGCATTATCGATGTATTATAGCGATTATCTGCATAAAGATTAACCATTTGTCTATTACATTTATTACAAATCGAATGGATGAAGTATCGAACTGGAAAAGGTAAATAGATACGATCGGGAGAAGCTATTTGACCACTCGACACCCGACGATAGCTAAAGTACCTTCTCCTTAAAGGCCACGACTTCCAACTCGTTGACAAAGTTTTGCGGCAGCTACAGAGTATGTCTGCCTCCCCTGCTGTTTCTGAAGACACTCAGGGACAGAGGCTGATGTGGTTTTTGGCAGGAGCTTCAAAATTATAGATCTGCGAAGAGAATGGCACTTGTCCAGCAAAGAGTCCCCTCTATTGAGGCGTTTCTTGTTTCCATTTCCAAACAGAATCTATTTGAATTTCCATCAGACCACGTTTGAAATAATTTCAAAGGTTCAATCGTATTTTGGAAATAATTAGCAAATTTTTTTCGATTATTTACTATATTTATAGAGTTTATCGATATAAATTATACCGCAAAAAATACCAAATAAATGTATCTGCTTTTTTTTCATAGCTACGAGAATGTTTTCCCCACTTTTCCACACATTTTCCCATTCAAACAAAAAGGTTTAAATTGAATAAGGCTAGACTTTTTAATATTTTAAACAATTAAAAACTTTGCTTGAATAGAACCCAAAAGATAACACAATCCACACATGAACAGACAGATGCCGGATATTTGATTTTGCGACAGAAAAGGGAGTGCTGCAAGGCACATAAATTGCTCTAAATAAAGTCTACGAATCAGCTTTGTGGAGGCACTTGTATATTTACCCGGCAATCTGTGGAGTACAACCGTTTTTCTGTTTCCCGGGAATGACACATAAAGTGTGTCAACTAATCAAATGGCGACAGATAGGGGTTATTTTTTCGTACCTGCAGAGAGTAAAAGGCTCAATCAAAACATCAAACTGCCAGACATTTGTAGTACGAGCTGGGGGATGCATTCTGTGAGCCCTAATGCGACAAAGCCATTTACTTTATTTGTACATTTTTATATGAATATACTCTTTCGAAAGGTATGAGCAGCAGGGCAGGCCCGCAAGGACACTTGCCATGTTTCCAGATCGGTTAAGGCACTCTTTGAACATCAGCAAAAGTACGGTGTGAGGAGTGGAATCGATGGATTGGTAGCTGGGCTCCGACTCTTCCGATAACAGCTCTCAAGAAAGTGTAGAGCTTCCCAGGGTTAATCAGCAAGGGCTTTTTTCCAGAATTATTTATAGGTACAATTTTGGAGCAGTTTTTTTGTTTAATATTTTATCTGTATAACAGTTTTCAAGGCATTAAAACTGTAGACCTATAGACCTTGTGCAAACGTGTACTTTTTTTTGACTGCAACAAATCTTATGATATAAAAACTATCCCAAGGAGGCGGTTGCAGCATCTTTAATCAGTTTCCATCAATATTTCTCTGCTTTTCTGACAGTATTCCGTATTATAGACCACTTTTTGGTATTTTTTCGTTGCAGTATTGCCACATCTTCACCAAGTTGGACGATTTTTTGTTTTTCCGACATTTTCTCAATTGATTTCTAAGAGTCTTAGCCCTTTTTTTAATCGCTTCAGTGCTGCCAACAATCGATCTGTTAGGGTAAGGGTATCCATGCTTTCGTTCTCCGATTCTCGTCGTTCACTTTCATTTTCGGTTGGTCTTTCTATCGTTTTGTTTGTTTGTTGCGTGTGAGCAATAAAATTCTTTATCTTATTTTATTTTTTTTTTTCTGTCTTTTTTAAAACACGCGAAAATGGGCAAATGGCAACGGCAAATGTTTATGGCTTGTTATTTGAGCATAAAAGCATTTTTCCACGCCCCCGCCCACCGCACGTATGAGACACACACGCGCCAAAAAAATTATCATTCAAAATAAAACAAAAAACAAAAAAAAAGCCGAAAGCTGAAACAGAAGCGCGACGAACAATGAAATTGTCAAAAAATGTAAAACGAGACACGCATCAAAGTGGAACTCCATCGCGGCAGGAGGGAGTGGGGAGGGGGGGAAGGTGTGTTTTCTTGGGGAAATTGTTTTGGCCAAACAAATAAATTTATGTTGGCAATTTGGAAATGAGAGGGCTGTGTGGGGGGTCGAGATAAATAGAGCGCCACTTGAGATGCTCATTCAGGGCTAATAAAAATTACGCAGCAATTGCAGGAGTGAAAGCCAAAGAAAAAGTTCGAAAGTGTCGACACTTCTGTGTGGCGGAAGGCACTCCTAGCGCTCCCCCACCGCCCGTGTAACCCTTGAGCCTCGGGACACGTACTGGCAAGGATCGTTGAGGTCTCAATAGCCTGCCCCCAGAGGCGGCGGCGATGGCAAAGCGTGACGCAAATGGCAAATGAAAAGCAAATGAAAACCAAAGCGAAACTGCGCGCCAACATAATAAGAAATGTAATCAGACTAAAGCGGCACCCCACAGAGGAAATAGTTAGGGGTACAATTGAGGATTAGAGGTGGAACAAAACGAGGCGTTTTTCAATGGGGGGTGCTACACAAAAAAAGGCATTCAGGGGCAGACATTCGATGTCAAATTGTATTCCTTTCGAAAATAAAGCCATTCACAGGTAAACGTAAAGCAACCCCTAATTTTTGCCATATCCCTGAAGACTTATGCCAGGATGTCACCGAAAGGGGCGACCAATGTGTGTGAATGGCTAAAAATCGCATCGGTGGAAAAGCTTACGTGCCAAAGCTGGCTTCCAGGCATAAAGCAGTTGGATGGCAGACTGTGCAGGACTTTGCAGCTCCTGCCGATTTCGTGAGGTTAGCGCCATTGACCGGAAATGTAAAATGCACTTAACACACTTCCAACCGCTCCTCCACCATCCCCCCCTTCACTGCCTCCGCAGAAACCTCCACCCCAAAAGCCAAAAGGAAACTGGAAAATATCGCTATCAATAAATTCGCACGTAGCTGTTGGGAGGGCGGGACGTGGAGTCTGGCGAGGGGGGAGGTCGTGGATAATTGCGAAAACTCAGTGCCAGAGTCAGCTGTAATTCCTTTTCTTTCTTTTTGGCTTTGGCTCCCGGCTCCCTGGCTCCCTGGCTCCCTGGCACCCTGCCTCCCTGGCTCTTTCGAAACGATTTCATTCCGTTCCTGGCACTCGCAATTTGAGCTTTTTGAAACAAACACGCGCCGAAGCAACTAAAAATTGTTGAAAAGGAATCCTCCACATACTTGATGGAGGATTTAGGGGTGCCGGAGGTAAGGAAAAACTCTGCGATTCAGGTTGCAGCCGGATGGGGAAGAGCTAGTGCTCCTGTGGTGACTGCTTTTAACGAAAATTGCTTCATTAGAAGCAGCGGGTTAACTGTGGAAATACTCGACCGCTGCCTGATTGAGTTGCACTTTCGGGGCAGGCCCTGGCCCCGTGCACCGTGCCCCGTGAGGGGGGCAGGCTCTGGCAGCAACAAAGTTGCGAAAATTAAAACGCAAGCAACCCAGCAGATACCCAGTAGGGGAACACTTAGATCCATCTGATATTGATTGGGAAAGGGTTTAACAATGATTTCTGTAGGGGATATAAATCGAAAAGAATACTCGATATTTGAGAAATTTTTAGTTGGTACAAAAATATATATTGGTCCAAGTAACATTTTTCTTATGCATTATCAAATTTTGTGTACTCTAAATTTAGTTTTCAAATTCCACATTATCCGGACTGTTGTGAATATTTCGGCGGACTCTGGGAGGTCGTACAATTTGTTGATCCTTTGAGTTGCTGAAAAACGAGGCTTTCGAACAACACTCTGCCATTGAATGCCATTAGAAGAGGAACAGGCAACTCCCCCCAGAGATCGCCAACATTCCGACGACGGGGCATTGGGGACACTACAACGGCTTCATGGGACCAAGCACTCAACCGTTGAAAGTGTTACCACACCTTAAAAAGTAAGTCTTTAAAATAGCCACCAAAATGATTGCAACAAACGATTTACCTTAGTTTCAGTGTTAGTAAGAGTCCGAATCGGAATCTGTTGAATTTTTCGAAATAAACAGTAAGTAAAAATGAATAAATTTTACAAGTTTCCGAAGAATTATAAAATTTACTGCTTTACTTTTAGAAGCCAAATTACGATTGACCAAAAACCCAAAGACTACTGGATCCTCACCAATAAAATACCACAAAAAATAAGCAAAATTAAATGAAGTAAATATAAAACATAAAAAACCACATCTTTGATGAAAAACTAAACCACCCTGGCCCTACCATTTCGCAGGGTAGAAAATCCTAGAGAACTTTCATTGTGTTTTGTGGCAGGGCCAGAGCCCTAATGAAATTAAAGGTAAAATACTTTTAGGCTAATTGCTTTAAATGCGTGTGGCAGCAACAGAATCCACAAAAAAAGAACAGATTTCTATAGAAAGAAAGAATCATTTTTGTTGCTCTGCTCTGCTCTGCTCTGCTCCTGTCGATTGTGTGGCTGCTGCTGCTGGCTGGTGGCTCGTTTGCATTCATAAATCAAAAGAGCATGTGTCTATCATGACCCCCCAACAGGCAGGCAGGCTGGCTGGCTGGCAGGCAGCCACCAAACAATAGAATACCGTAAAGATTATATAGAAATAGCCAAACACACACACAATAAATAGGAGAAAATATGAAAGTGAGAAGAGCAACAAGAGCAACCGCACAACAAATGGAGCATAAATTACACATGGCCCGCATAGAAAAATGATACGCCGTGAACATAAAACAGATGCCTGTTTGGGGCTAAGGATGGGAGGGCCAGCCAACCATACTCATCATTTATAAAAATTCCTCGCGTTGGGTTGTCGGCCTGCTTTTGGCATTTATGGTCATCAGCGATGGGGTCCGAAAAATGAAGTTAGCATCTCTCTGTCGCTCTGTCTCTCATATCCGTTTTCAGTCCCTGCTAAACTAATCGCGTTACAATGAAAATTGATGATGCTACACAAGGAAAAAAGTAACAAGAATAGGTCATTAGGGGTCTAACGACTAAAGGATGCCCATTAAATGGGGTAGAAAGCTTGTAGGAGCCACGATTGAGCCGTGTGGATCGTGAGAGCGCTGTCAGAGAGCGCTAACAGTGCGCTGTAAACGGGCAATGGGCACAGGCTATCCCTAACAGGGCCTGCGCTTCCTGAGATCGGTAACAGGCTGTTAATGGCCATCGGCACCTGAGATCGGTAACAGACTGTTAACGGCCTGCGGTACCTGCGAATGTTAACAGACTGTTAACGGCCTGCGGTGCCTGAGATCGGTAACAGGCTGTTAATCGTGGTTGTTAACAGTGCCGTGGCTCTGTTACTACTGCTGCCCTGAACATCTGGGAAATAAAGGAATTTATACCATTCTAGAATTCTGCCGATCCAAAAAGCCATCTTAATACCCTCTTCTAATCAAAGGACATACCCTGTAGCACACAAAAACAACACAATGCTATCTCCAAATCGGAAAAAGCGAAACCAAAGAGAATTTTGGCCAGTTAGGCTATAACTATGCAACATATTTTAGTGCCACAAAAGTGGCCAAGCGAATGCCAGAGACCATGTCATTGACTTTGTTGCAGTTGCAGCCACTTAAATTCAATTGACTCCGACCCCGAACCCGAGCCACCCACAGCCCCGGGGGCAGCAGCAGCGGCAGCAGCAACAACAAATGTTTGGCAAATATTGTCAACCGAGTCGAGTGGATGGACGAGGAGGCACGAGAAGGCACGGAATGGGGAGTCAAATATGGGGCGAAATCGGGGGGCCATTCAGTTAACAAAGTTTTCGCAACGAACCAAACCAGAAAACCAAACAACAACAGCAGCAGCTGCAGCTGCACAGAGTCAGAGAATCAGAGTCAGAATCGGGGCAGAGAGTCCTGCCTGTCCATCCCTTTGGCTACTTAACTGTTCAGTCGACCAGGCCCCAAAGTGGCCTGGCTATAAAAATGCAACGAGAGCAGGGCGAATATTCTGCGGGCACTCTATCTGTTTGGTTAGCGAAAACAACAATCGAGACCCAAAATGTGGAACGCATTTAATTGAATTGGAAAAAAACTAAACAGCGCCCGGATTGGAATACGAGGAATTTCGAATGAAGTGCGGAATACACTAGGGAGGGATTGCAGGGCATAAGAGACCATTTACAGATACTTGCAGATATTTCAGCTGTAAGGAAATAGGAAAAAGAGATTGTGCGGGGGAAATACTCGTAAATGTAGTTATAGATTTGTATGGAATAAATACAAAGTTTGTAGTCTTCTGCCATCGATTAATGGACTCTTTTATGTCTTATATTTGCAGATCTTCCAATAATGGCACTGCAGGAACTATATCATTGTTAAACATACCTTTTATTAAGCAAAGGATCCCTCTTTTTTTTGAAGAAAATGCAGAAAAACCAAGTAAGTTGTGGCTTCTTACCTTTTACTTTACCTTTGATGACTTGCCCACCTGAAAATCTACCAAAATTACAACTATTTTATACTTATACTAAGAGACAAGCCCCCTGATCACTCGCTTCACTCGCTCGCTCGGGCGCTACGACCCAAAATTTTTTTATATAATAAAGAGATTACTTCAAAACCCTTCCCTTATTAATAATATTTCTCCCATCCATTGAAACCACAAGCTTTGATAAATACAAACCCCATGGGAATATATCTGTACCCAAAAATTCGTTGAGTGTAAAACCGATTCGCAGTCAAACGAAACGCGACCAAAGTCCAAACTCGAATGCAATTACAAGCGATACTCCCTGCAAAGGCAAACACTTGATGTCGCATTCTAGTGTGAGTGTATGTGTGGGTATATTCGTGTGTGTGTGTGTGTTGGCAGTTAATATGATGACGCTTAAACATGGCTAAAAAGCATTATGGCAGGCAAAGTCAATTAGAGCAGTGCACGACTACTGGCAACGCCATTTCCCTGCCAGGGCAACGATCCCGGCTGCCCGCCTAACCCCAGGGCTCTTCCTGGTCCTGGTCGTGGTCCTAGTCCTGCTCCCCGGCTGTAAGTGAATCCAATCCATATTTGTGGCAAATTGTGTTTGGCTCTGGCATTTCGCATCCACCTTAAATGTTAAACTCCCCCCACAAAATACAGAGTACACACTTGATGAGCCTGATTTTGGTTTCGGGGGGTTTTTGTTTGTCAATTTGGTTGAATTTGGCAACGTGCTTTGGAAGCAATTGAGACGATGTCTCCACGGTGATCCCTTTAGCACGGCCAATCCTTTGCTTTTCCCTGCCATTCTTTGGGCCCGGAGTTTATTTTTAAACGAATTTCAGGTTGAGCCAGGAGCCAAGCCGAAAATCTCGTAGCTTCAAGCAGAAGCTCTATCTCTTCCTCTGGGGGCGGGCTCTGGCTTGAAATATTTAGGGGACATTATGGGGGGGAGGGAACTACCGTTGAGGAAGCCCCCACCGGTATTTATCGTAAACTTCAACTGCCAGAGCGGCGCGTCAAGGATAGGATATTCGCAGATGTGTGTGTATGTGTGGGATTCGAAAAGGATGGTTGGGCAACCCATAGACTATATCAATATTGGCCTAATGGCAATGACAACGACAGCGTTAGCTAACCATAAAAACCAATGACAACTCTTTACAACAGGAAGAGAGGAAAAAGGTTGCGTCAGAAGGGCAGACAGACAATGCGAAATGCTAATCCAATTGAGTGGCGACTCCTGGACGGCTCCTCCAGACGGCAATAATCATAAACAGATATTATATTATTTATCTCGGCCTCGTCCTGCCTTATGTATTAATCTCCCCCACCAAAAAACCCACATGGACCTCGGACCTGGCCGAAAACTCCACTGGCCAAGATGCTCTCCAGCCTAATTGCAGTCCTCGCTGCTCGGCTCTCGCTTGGGGGCACATTCTCGTAATGACACGAAACGAGTTCAAAGCTAAGTTGGCTCATATAGTTTTTCATTAGGTTTTGGGTGTATAAGCCCTTTGATGACCGCCTTTTAAGTCTAATTAACTGCTAATAGGCAATAAATCATTATTACTCAAATTTCAGAGGCGGAACGATGACTGGATGGGAGGTGGAGTCCAGTAGTTGTGTGACACGGGACACTGGACACATTGAAATAAATTCATAAGTGTGGGGTTTGCGTTATAGGAACAGCGAACTGGGGATACACTAACTATTTGTGGGATAGAACAACTTGTAATTGATTTAAAGTCTCAAAGTCCCCCAATATTTAAGTTTTATGAGTTCCTTTTTTACAATCTCTATGAAAGTTCCATAATCCTTGGCACTAAACTTAAGAAACTATTGTATAAAATTGCAGATCAATACTGTAACTGGCTTTGGAGTTATAAGAGTGTTACTAGATGAACAAAATTATTGGCTTAGAAAATTTTAAGCCCATTTCATTCCGTGGGTTCCTGTGTGGGACACAACCACAACAAATTTCTTAATGCTAACTCTTTTAGATCCCAAGATCATATAGTTTATCATCTTGAAACTGTATGAAAACCAAATAGCTTATAGAAAATTACATCATAAAACTCTATAAACTTTTTTAAGACATTATAGGGAACCGTTTATAAGTAAAAAGTTGTTAAAATACTGGAAAAATCAGATAGATTTCAATATCTATACTCTAAAATCCCCTCATTAGAATGATAGAGTAAATATATAGATATAAATCACTCTTATAAGAAAAACTCTATTCCCCCACTATGTTTTTCAGACTCCCTCTCTATTCTAGATACCAATATTCAATAGATGATAATTTCCAATCATTATTTCATTAGAAAACCGCATAAAAATGCAGAATTATGTGCCTCATACAATTTGTAAAAGGCAAATCCAAAAACCCGGAAACTTCTGACTCACTCTCGTATCAAAAATAAAAACCCAAACCATTCATCAGATTCCTATGAAGAACTTCTACCCACCGAAAATTGGAGTCTTCCCTTGGGTGACTAAGCCAAATCCTTTCACCGATTCAATATGCCTTTCGTGAGGCATTTAACCCTGGTTAGCGTATCATAATTCATAAATAAAGTGTGACTAATGCCAATGGGAGCCCTCACCATGCGCTGGACGAGGCTTCACCGAGTGTAACTGCGATCCATTAAGCAATAAAATTCATTCATTTATTATTTATTGTGATTACACCCCATCGTCCATTGTTCTTCCTTCTTTTGCCACTTTCTCTCTTCGCCCACTTCAGTGTGTTGTTCGAGGGAGGACT